ATATGTTTTAAAAAATTATTTTATACTTTTATAATAAACAATTGTAGAATAAAGAAACGTAGTAAATATTATAGAGTATGTAATGCTACCAGTATTAAAAAATAGCCTATATTGTGAATATTTGTATATAACGAATCATTTGTATGTTGTGTTTAGAGAAGAAGATATTATTTACAATGAAAAAATAGATCCTATTGCACGCAAAATAGAATTATCACGTAAAATAGGACGTAAAGTGGTTGGTCAATTGTTTGGTACCGCGGTTAGTCCATCATGGTGGTCTTGCATGTGGCTGAACGAGGGTATTGCTACGTTGTTCGGCGTGTATACAATCAATCAGGTATTTTTTCACGTGTGTGATAATACTTTCAAAGAAAACTGAATATAAATTTTATTTGAAAACACACGAGGAGAGAAAGAATATTCTTCCAATATTTTCAATAATATTCAAGTTGAACGTAAAGAATTTTGTCGCATTCATGTGAAATCGTTTAAAAAATTTTTATTAATTTAATTATATTTTTAATGATTATTAGACTAATGATTATTAGACTAATGGTGATAAATTAATAATTAAATTATTATTTATTTTGTGACTATACTTGTAATATCTAGATTATGCCTGAGAGTCGAATGTTGGATTTATTCGTAGTCCAGACTCAACAAGAATCTCTTCGTCTAGATAATTCACAAGTTATGAATGCTCTTGATTTAGAAATTGACAGTATGTCTGAAATTAATTCTCTTTTCTCCTTCACCTATTACATAAAAGGTATAGAGTACTGAATAAATAAAGTTGAAACAATTAAAACATGTAAAATTATTTAAAAACTATACCAAAAATAAATTTTTACTTTACATATCTTAATTTATATATCTTTTTATTCACTGAAATAAATAACATATTCTAAAACAAATATATTCCAAAAACGTCGAAATTTCTAATTAATTGTAAATTTATCAATATTTCGGAGAACTTCGATAAATATACTGTATGGTTTCTTGCATGTTTGATCTTATAATGCTCATCTGTTGTAGCACCTTCTATACTGCGTATGCTACACTTTACAGTGGGTGATGAAATCTTTCAGAAAGGGATTAATATGTATATGAAAAGAAAGTAAGTATTTTCATGTCTTGTATCCTTTCTCTCTTTTTCTTTATGTCAAATAAGTAATTTTTCATTTTTATTTTTTTGTTACATGATGTAAGTTTATATCTAAATAATAATTTACTATATTCTTTGCTATTTTTGTTGCCGTATAATGTTACTACATAAAATAATTTTCTCAAATACTGTATTACTGTGTTATTTCTCGAAATAAGAAAAAATTTAAATAACATGTGTTAAAATAAAAAGAAAATTTTGTATCCAAAAATTTGTTATACGGAATGAATAACTTAATCAGAATTAAAATTTAATGTAATTATATTTTGAATATATTTTTTGAATATATGTATTTTCGTGTGTAGATAATAATGGAAAAAAATTGATAAATATTTTTATAAACTTTATCTATTATTCAATGATCTCAATTAAAATTCAGTCGGTGCAGTTGATGTTGAGGCTTTACAACTTAATATTGCAGTTTTGCGCAAATAAAATCACGGGCGTCTGTCTCACATATTGATAACTGAACTGAGTGAATG